ACGCATAAACACACACACAATTTTGACCTAAATCTCAGGTTCATAAAATGGATCATATAAAACCACAAAACTATTAGGGAAAAAAAGCACAAGAGAAAAATCTTCAGGATCTAGGGCTGGGCAAAGAGTTTCTAAAACTGACACCAAAAAGAATGATCCATAAAAGAATAAATTGAGAAACTGGACTTTAACAAATTAAAAACTTTTGCTCTGCAAAAGACCTATTAAGGGGATGAAAAGACAAGCTACAGATAAACCACATATCTAGCAAAGACCAGTATTAAGAATATATAAAGAATAAAGAGGTCAATAGATCCTGGTCAACATGGTGAAACCCCGTCTCTACTAAAAATACGAAAAATTAGCTGGGCATGGTGGCGTGTGCCTGTAATCCCAGCTACTCAGGAGGCTGAGGCAGGAGAATTGCCTGAACCCAGGAGGCGGAGGTTGCAGTAAGCCGAGATCGCGCCACTGCACTCCAGCCTGGGTAACAAGAGCGAAACTCTGTCTCAAAAAAAAAAAAAGAATAAAGAACTCCCAAAATTTAATAGTAAAAAGGACAAACAATCCAATTGGAAAATGAACAGAAAACAGTTCCCTGAAGAAAATAGACAGATGACAAATAAGCATATGAAAAGTGCTCAACATCATTAGCCTTTAGAGAAATGCATGTTAAAACCACAATAAGACATCCCTGCACACCTATCAGAATGGCTAAAATAATAGTGACAGACCAGGTATGGTGGCTTATGCCTGTAATCCAAGCACTTTGGGATGTTCCAGCTATGCTAGAACATTTTACAAAACAGTTCACCAGTTTTTTTAAAAAAAAACTAAACATGCAACTACCACACACCCCAGTAACTACTCCTGGGCGTATATCCCATAGAAATAAAGACTCTGTTCACACAAAAACCTATACACAAAAGCTTACAGCAGCTATATTTGCAATACCCCAAAACTAGAAACAACCAGATGTTCAGCAGGTAAATGGTTAAACGATCCATAAAGGTACACTCATACTATGGAACACTACTTAGCAATGAAAAGAGTCACTACTGATACATGCAACAAACTGGATCAATCTCCAGACAATTATGCTGAGTGAATAAAGCCAATTCCAGACAATTATGCTGAGTGAATAAAGCCAAAGACACTTATTATTCAATTTATAAAACATTCTTAAAATGGCAAAATTATAGAAATGAACAAATTAGTAACTGTCAGGGTTTAAGGAAGGGATGGAGGTAAAAGGGTAGTAGGTGTGGCTACAAAAAAACATAAGGAAATCCTGTGGCCATGGAAATCTTCTATATCTTGACTGTCTCAATGTCACTATCATGGGTCTGAAAATTGCACTATAGCTTTACAAGATGATTGGGAGCAATTGGGTAAATGAGGACTAAATGAGGACACACAGATATAAATATAAACTATCATCCCTACCCTTAAACACCATACACTCAAGAGGCATAAATCAACAGTGAATAACTTCATCAAGGAGAAAGGCCTTGAGTAAATCTACGAAAAACAGGCATCACTTCCACAAGTGGAGGTGGAGAAGGGGATGTCTTGGGAAGGAGAATAAATGACACAAAAAGGTACAGAGCCAGAAATAAGCAAAGTGCCTATGAAGAAAGAGGCATGTTTACGGGATTGCAAAATAACAGAAAAAATGGGATAAGAAGTATGGGGATAATTCTGAAGGGTACCCAAAAGCCAGGTGCAGGAGTACAAACGTTACATATTCAGAGAAGCCCTCCTCCCCAAGCCAGCCAACCTGAAGTTCCCCCTACCTACAATCTCTCCAGCATCCTTTACTTTTTCTGTATAGCACTCATCACAAATTGTATTTATGTACTTATTTGCAAGGTTTTTTGTTTCATGCTGTCCATCCCCCAGTTATTTTGAGACTACAGCACTGGGTATGGCACACATAATCACTCAAAACAGGGGTCTCCAACCCCCAGGCCATAAACCAGTACCAGTCTGGCCTGTTAAGAACCTGGCCACACAGCAGGTGAGCAATGGGTGAGCAAGCATTACTGCCTGAGCTCCATCTCCTTCCTGTCAGATAAGCAGCGGCATTAAATTCTCACAGCACAAACCATATTGTGACCTGCACATGTGAGGGATCTACGTTGCACAAGCCTTATGAGAATCTAATACCTGATGATCTGAGATGGAACAGTTTCATCTTGAAACCATTTCCTGGCCCCCAACCTGGTCCGTGGAAAAAACTGTCTTTCATGAAACTGGTCCCTGGTGCCAAAGAGACTGGGGACCGCTGACTCAAATATTAATTGAATAAATGAACGAACAGTAAGTATTCACTCCTAACTCTCTTCTACGAAGCTGATGCACTCCTCTTCCTTATCTGTCACTCCCTTTGCCTTGGTCCCTCTTTGCCTAACTGCCTCTTCTAACTGATCTTTTTAATGGCTCTTCCCTCTTTCCTTCCTACTCTACCTCAGTCTAGCTCTTAACCCATCAGAAAAATAAAACTCGGTACATAACTGCAATGGTATAACACTCTTCTGAATCTCAACCAATTAGGAACTGTATCCAAGAAATGTGTTACTGAAAACAAAGCACCAAAGTTGTATGTTACATTAACATGATAGAGGTATTACATAAATAAATAAGTAAAAGCAAAAACAGGGTCAACCTGGCTGTGACCTTTCCTGAGTATGGAAAGCTGTCCATCAAGGAAAGCCAGGACAGTATTCCCCAAAACTAACAAAGTTATGCAAAACCAGACAAGACTGAGAAACTGTCACAAAACAAATTATTAAAGAAACATGACGTCTAAATACAATGTCGTACATTGGATTGGATCCTGGAACAGAAGGAAGATATTAATGGAAAAACTGGTGAAATCCAAATAATGTCTGGAATTTAACTAAAAAAGTAAACTATATGAAACACTAATGTATGATTAAGATTCAAAATTATTAGTGTTATTTTATATTATTAAAAAGATGGATAGGGCATGCAAGTGAGCCAAGAGCAAAACTCCAGAGTAGCTGGAGCGTCCCACTGAGAAGTTACTTACACATCTATCTTCATTTTGACTCTGGTCTCATGCTCTCACCAGATGCCATGAGAATTACCTTGTCTGTAACTGCTTGGGATTAACAACCAGTTTTGTTGTTGTTGTTGGGTTTTCAGTTTTTTTTGAGACAGGGTCTCACTCTGTCACTCTGGAGTCGGTAGGACTACAGACCCATGACACCACACCCAACTAATGACCACGCTTAACTCTTCTAGCACACTCATTCGTTTACCCAACAAGCATTTACCAAGTGCTGCTTACCAGGCACTGTAAAGTCTCTAGGGATACATGGCTGGGAAAGGAAGCCACAATCTCTGCTCTCATAAAGCTTAAACTCTATTGAGAAAGCCAGGCATTTAACAAGTATTTGCATACATGGTGAGTGCTCCCAAGAGTTTTGCAGTCTGCTACTTAAGTGGCACCAAACAAACCAGCAGAGCAGTCATTAAACCCAGTTATCACCAGCAAGCTGAATAAAGGCTTCTCAGGTTTCAAAGTGCACACAAATAACCCGAAATCTTGGGAAAGCAGATACTGTTTCAGTTCATCTGGAGTGGGGCTTCACATTCTGCATTACTTCCAGTGTGAGGTGACAGGGATGCTGCTGATACACCACGCACACTTGGAATAGCAGAGCCCTACAGTACCATGGAAACATCCTCAAAGGATCGTGTAAAATGAAAACTCCATTAGGGCAAGGACAGTTTGTCTCCCTTATTTGTCATACAGCCAGAACTTAAAACTGTGCCTCACAGACAGATCGCATTCAGTAAATATTTACTTACACAATAAATGGATGTATGCTTTAGACCAGGGCTGTTCAACTGTAGCAGAGAACCACATTTAGCTATGGAACACCTGAAATGTGGCTAGTGTGACTGAGGAGTTGAATTTTTAAATTTTAACAGCCACATGTGGATAGTAGTTACCACGCTGCACAGTCCAGGTCCGGACACAGATGTGATGTAAAGAGAACTGGACTAACAAGGGCTAGGTTTGAATTCCAACTCTGCTCCTCAGCTTGTGACCTGAAAAGTTGCAACTTCTTAGGTAGGGCCTTCACTTCTTCATCTGTGAAATGAAAAACCGCCTAACTCTCAGGGTTCTTGACACGAATTATTGTAAAGCAATGTATTAAACATAAGATATGATCAAAGTGACATTCTCTGCCCTTCAGAAACAGTTCACAAAGACTATTTTGCCTATTGCTTACACTTAACCAAAAAAATTGCCAAGTGAGTTTGGTTGACGGTGGTTAGCTCAGTGGCTTTGAGAACGAGGACAAGGTCATAAATCTAGGGGGTAGGGGAACCTCGTCTAGCAAGGCTGACCACATAAGAGAAGCAATGACAATGCAAATCATCCCAATTCCTGATGAATGTTTAAATGAGCACGGTATTTACTATGGGTGAGTAAATGACATCTCATTCATTCATTCTTCTAGGAAAAGCTGCCACATTACCTAAAGCCCGCTACTTCCCAACCACAAACATTTGTTAATTCAGGGCCGGGTCCTCCTCGGGGGTTGCGGGCCGGGAAGCCCCCTCCCCCGCTGCCGGTGTGTCCTCCCCTCCCCCGTCGCGCAGCGAGGGTCAGGCTGGCACCGCAGTTCCAAGTACCACACGGCCGAACCCAGAAGCCATATTTAGCTTTATTTTTGTCAATAAAACAAACTTCCGTCTTCTATAGAAAAACGGTTCTAACTCAATGTCAAACTAGGACGGAAACTCGCAGCTCGCCGCTACTGCCAACCAGAGACGCCGCGTGTCCAACGGCCCCGGGGTCCCAGACCCGAACCCGCGCCGAGCGCGCCGGCGCCCCGGCCCCAGACAGCGCCGGCCACAAAGGGACGGGGGACGCGGCCGCGGTGGGGCCTCCTCCTCCACCCCCGACCCGCGCGAGCGGCAGCGGCTCCGGGACGGCCGGGCCGCGGGCGGACACTCACCTCGCTCGGCGCGCGGCGGCGGCAGCGGCGGCGGCAGGCGCTCCTCGGGGCCGGCCCGGGCGGTCGCGGCGCGGTCCCGCGGGCCGCAGCGCGGGCGCTACTCTCGGGCCGCCGTCCGCCCCGCCGCCTCCTTGGCCTCTGCCGGCGGCTCCCCTGGCGGGCGGGCGGGTCCGGCCCGGGCCCCGCCTCCGCCGCGCTCGCCCCCGCCTCCGCGCCCGGCCTCACGGGCTCGGCGCGCTACTCCGGGCCGCCCCGCATCCCGCCGCCGCCGCCGCCGCTCGCTCGGGGCTGCTCCGCGCGGCAGGCCCGGGCCGCAGGGCCGCCGCGCAGGCCGCTCGGGCGCGGTCCTCCCTGCGCTGCGTGCTCGGCGGCGGCGGCCCGTGCGGCTGCGCGGGGGAGGCGGGGGCGCCGGCGCTCACCCGGATGCGCGCCCCGTCCGCTGCGGCGAGCCTACCGCGGGGCCGCTGCGCTCCCAGTGCGCGGCGCCCTTTCCCGGCCGGGCGCCCAGGCCCGGTCCCCACTCCCGGGGCTACCGGCAGGGCCAGGCCAGGCCGAGAGGTGCCCCCGACCCTGGGTCGGGACAAAGAGGCTGCCGCAGCAAGTAAAAGACAACTCGGGCCGTCGCGCGTCAAGCGGGTCGCGGGGCGGGAGAAGATGAGGAGCCCTCACCACGGATCGGCCCCAGGGCCGAGCGCGGGGCCTCCCCAACCTGGTGGGGTTGCCCGAGGCGGCCGCAAGCGCGGGAGCTGGAGCGCTTTCAGCCGCGCCGAGCCCGCGCCTGGCGACAGCGATACAGGAGGCCCGAGACCGAGGGAGGATGGCGAGAGCGGAGCCCCGCGACCCGCGCCGCCGGGGCAGGCACACGAGTCCCGGGGGGCAGCAACGTCCTGGACCTTGCAGAACCGGGACTGTTTCGGGAAGTGGCTCCCGCCCAGTGCGGGGAGAGGGACCCTTCCTCTGTGCCCCCTTGGGAAACACTGCTCGATACAATTCCAAAAACCAGCTCTACCCTGACCTGAAGATAGAAAACAAAACCCTGGTCTGTCACTCACGCGAGGCATAACCAACCGTTCTTTTAATAAGTTAATTTTCTACTTAAATCATTGAGAGGTTTGTGTCTTATTGCTTGCCAACCAAGAGCTGCAATAAGATTATAATGTTTAAGTGGTCCCACTTTGAAACTTTTAAATTTATATTGCATCTGTTCACATAACCAAAAGGCTGTCAGCAAAAAAAAAAAAAAAAAAAAAGCAACCCACTTCACTGAAAATTATCTCTGGAATTTTACTATCCTGTTTTGTACGTATCTGCATCTTCCAAGTATTCTAAAATAAAAGTTTAAGGTTAGTATTTTTAAAGTATTTATATAATACTTTGAAGCAAAGTCAATCATGACTAGCCTGTTACTGTTGTACAAGGAAACCCCACTTTGGAATAAAGTTTTCTTGGGAGAAAAGATTTGCAAATCATTTATCTGATGAAGGACTTGTAGCCAGAATGTATGAAGAACTCTTACAACTCAGTAATAAGATTAATAATCCAATTTTAAATGGGCAAAACAGCTGAATAGACATTTTCCCAAAGATAGTATTTACATGATCAACAATTACATAAAAAGGTGTTCAACATAATTTGTTAATAGAGAAATGCAAATTAGGAGAACGAGAAAGTTCTTGACACCCACTACAATGGCTATAGTAAAAAAGACAGACAATAACAAGTGTTGGTGAAGAAATGGAGAAATTAGAACCCTCAGACGTTGCCTGTGAAAATGTAAAATGGTGCAGCCACTTCGGAAAACAGTTTTCTAGGTTTTTAAAAAGTTATGCATAAAAGTATTATATGACCTAACAATTCCACTCCTAGGTGTATGCCTAAGAGAACTGAAAATACATTCCTACAGCAACTTGTACATAAAAATTAGTAACAATGTTATTCATGATAGCCAAAAAATAGGAACAATTCACATGTCCAGAAACTGCTGTGTGGATAGATAAAATGCGGTATATGCGGTACAGTGGACTACTCTTCAATAAAAGTAATGAAGTATTCATAGAAGATACAACATGGAGGAACCTCAAAACAATAAGCTAAGTGGAAGATGCCAGATGCGAAAGAGCCTGTATTGTAGGATCCATTTACAGTCATGCCCTGAATAACATCACTCCTGTCAATGATGGGTTCCCTGTACAATGGTGGTTCCATAAGATTATATGCAGCTGAAAAGTTCCTATTGCCAAGTGATGTTGTAGCCTTCAAATTGTTGTAGAGCAATACATTACCTTTTCTATGTTTAGATACACATATACCATTGTGTTAAAATTAAAATTGCCTACAGTATTCAGTATAGTCCCATGCTGTGCGGGTCTGTAGCCTAGGAGCAACAGGCTATACCATGTACCCTAGGTGTATAGTAGGCTGTGCCATCTAGGTTTGTGAGTATACTCTGTGATAGTCCCACAATGACAGAATTGCCTAACAATGCAGTTCCCAAAACATACCCCTGTCACATGACTACATACAATATCCAGAAAAGGCAAATCTATACAGATAATCAGTGGTTGCCTAGAGCTGGGAGTAGGTAGGGGGAATGACTGCAAAGGGGCACAAGAGATCTCTTTGCAGTGATATAAATGTTCTAAAATTGGATTGTGGTAATGATTATACAACTGTAGATTTACTAAAACTACCTGAACTGTGCACTTGAAATATGAATTTTATGGTATGTGCCATTACCTCAATAAAGCAAATTTTTAAAAAAGATATCTGTGTACCATTAAGTAGCCCAGGGAAATAGTACCTTTTTTTTTTTTTCACAGAGGACAAGATACATGGTTCCAAAATAATACCTTTTTAATCTGCTTGCAGCAAGTTCTTTTCAAGAAAACTTCCCGTAAGACAAATGAAAAATTGTGTGCTGTTTGCACACAATTCTACCGTGTAATAAAATGCACTTTTCACAACTGTTTTTATAACCAAGCACATTTACCCTTCAACAATCCAAGTCTACTTCTATTTATTCAAAAATCTACCCATTAGCAGAGCACCCACTAACAGAACAGAAAATGGGATGGAAAGGGTAACATATTTGAGGACAGGAAAAAACTAGATGCTTTACAACAAAGTGAAGATTTGCCTAGAAGGAATAGTTGAAAGGGCATAGATCAGGGAGTCCAGAGTAAGGACACTTTCTTTCCCAATGTTAATCTTGTTTTTCTTTGGCTCTGCCCCAGGACTCATTGGTTGCCTCCAGTAATGCACATGGTATACCTGTTAGGCCTGTGGGGTAGGGGACATTGCCTTTAGGTTGGATAATGGTAGGATTCAATATTTGTTTCATGATTTTATGGATTTTTGAGGATTTTTAAGGATTTCTATGATCTTACCATAAAAGAAATTAATCCCTAGAAGATTAATTAGTGGAGACACATTGAAATTGATCATTCCTACCTGAAGCAGCCTATCTCCTTGACATTCCCTCACCACAGCCCCCAACTCCAGGGAGCATACCAGGGGAGCTGCTCTTTGGAGTGGACTTATTAATTCAGGCCATTATTTCTATCAGGCCCTCTTTAAAATGGTTGTTATCTAAATGATGCTAATATTCTTTCAGCTTATGAATATGCTTAAGTTGTTTGTTCCCGACTAGCTAAAAACCAAATGAATGGCACCTAGGATGGATTTGGTTTAATGGAGAGATGTGGGAGGTTGCCTGAGGCAGGGTAAACTGCCCAGGAATAACCCACACGGTAGGCAAGGAAGAGACAAGAGTAGAGGTTGGTTATACAGAATTGTGTGTCAAGCACCCACTAATGGGAGGGAACGGAAGAGGGTGATGGATGAAAGAGGAACAGACACAAACTAGCCCACATAGAAGCCTAATGATATGAAGTACATGAATCATGCAAAATGCGTAAGTACCATGATTTTATGATTTTTTTACTCCTCATTTTTGCTTTTGCCAAACAGAGGCCTGGCAGCTCTGTCTTGTGGCTGCAGTCTCAGGAACATGCATGCACTTCTTCCTCTCATAGCTCCCCTGCCCATACACATCATCACTGTCATGACCACTCACTGCTGTGAGGCCCAGGAACAAGAGAAGGCAAATTGGATGCAGGCAGGAACCTTGGTCCATTCATCCATTGAGTGGTGATCATGTCATGTCAGTGAGGTGAAGGCCTCCCTGGGGAGATGGAGGTAGCAACCTAGTCAGAATGCCACCAAACCCTTGTGATCAGAGCAGTACATTTTAGGCATTTATGGGAGGTGGGGCAGGTAACAGTGACTAACAGTTGCAGTTTCCCCCATGATCACACCTTACATGACTAGTATAATATCAAAACCAAGAAATTGACATTGCTGCAATTGTGTGTAGCTCTGTGCCATTTTACCATCGGTTGATTCCTGTAACTACTACCCGAATCAAGATACAGAACTGTTAGATTAATTTCCTACTAACTCTGACCAAAGCTGAGAGGTTTCACAATGACTCAGTAGCCAATTATATATGTTTGAATTCATGGTTATTGTGAGGCCTTTAGACATCATCAATTATATAGTTAATATTTACCACATAGGCAGTCATCAAAGTGAGTAATGAACCACAGTGATGGACTTGGGAGACCAACGCACTGACAGACATGTGCAGTGAGTCCAGAAGTCCTTTGGATGTCAGTCGGGTGGGGGTGTGGGGGTCACCACTTTTGCTTCTCTCAGGCAGAGTCTGCAGTGACAGGTGCCAGGTTGGGAGATGACCTCACAGTTCTCATGGGCAGAGTCTCTGAAGGCATCTAGGCTAAGGCCAGGTGCTTGCTGCTTTTAGGGTCCTCTCAGATGTGTCACTCTCATTATCTCAGCCACTTTTCACTTTCTGTCAGTTCATTTCAGGTCTCAGGTAGTACCAGGCAAGAGCAGGTGTTACTGCCTCAAGCCATTACACACACGTGTTTAGCACTTTGAGGATTAAATAACTTCACTGTGGACTCAATACTACTCGATAGGAGTGACTCCATTTTGAGACATTAGGATCCCAAATCATTATAATATATCAAGAAGTATTTCATCACCACAAAGATCTCCTTTAGAGCCACACCTCTTCCCCACCCTCACTATCTCTAACCCTTGGCAACCACTCATCTG